GAATTCGATTGACCCAGATTAGATCGATTTAGGTTTAATTTAAGTGAACTTCTTCTGATCTAGATCATTTTTTTGTTGATGAGGGTGCACTGATCCAGCTTGAATCGAACACAGTGTGGTTCACTTAAATTGAACCAGATCGATCTAATTCGGTCAATTGAATCGGCTATAGAGGAAAGTGATATAGGCTATTTTTTATCCCGAAAAAAAAAGTTCGGTTGCGTAAAACTCTGATGCACTGGAACGCCTATAAACAGCTCGGGGCGCTCTAGAGCAGCTCTGGAGTGCTTAAAATGCGTCACTGAACTCAATGGCAAGCGACTATGATATCGGATTAAAAAAAAATAATTAAATAGAAAATCAACAACAAAATTTGAAAAGAAGTGTATTATTTCAAAATGTATTTACATGCTGGCAACGCAGTGGGTCATTAGCTAGTTTTTTTATAAACTTAAAATTCAAAAAAAAAACGACATCGTAGGTATTTTTTGCAAGAATTTTAAGTTTACAAAAAAATATGCGACTTCAGCAATTTAATTGAATAAATACAATATTCACCTTAATGTTATTGTGGTAGTTACAAATTGTTGAATTTCCATATTTTTTGGTAAACCAAAAATGATTGCTGGTATAACTAGTTTCCATGCTATGATAACAAATACTCTTTAGTTGCCACTGCTAAGCAAGACGGCAAAGTCAACTAGGAAAATGAGCTGTCATCGATAATTATACTGGTTACACCAATACAAAATTATAGCTTGAATAACTCCGGACAACTATGAAATTATAGTTGGTGCAACAAGTTTTTAGGTTAAGAATAAATGTTTGCAGCTAACTAAAATATTAGTTGATATAACCTCGAAAGTCGTATGTTGCACGAACTAATTCATATTTGCCGTTGCAACTAAATTTTTGATCTGTCCTCTATGCTATCCACGCTTCTAGTTACATTTACTAAATTTTTAGTTATAACAGCCTATTTTTTTTCTCAGTGTGGATTAAATATCCCTTAAGTTATAGCGGTGCAAATGGCCGTAAGACACTTTGTAGTGCTTAATAAATGGTCGTCTGCCCTTACCCCACACATAGGGGTGAAGGCGGACACACAACTTACCTAAAAAAAGAGGGGGGGGGGGAATACAAATTTCATTACTTTTAGTATGTAATTTGACAAAGGAGACATGGAAGATTCTTAATTATTTTTTTGTCATACGCTACCAAAAACAGCTATTTTACGGACTCATTCAAGTCCGTAAAATGCTTCTTTTTAGGCCTAGTCCCTAAAAGTCGTCATGGCAACCTTTACGGACTATTCCAAAATTCCATAGAATGTCTAAATTCAAAAAAAAAAACAGCTTCCATTATTTGTATTACTTATTTATTGTATACTATACGTTCAAGGATTATATATTTTCAGGATTTTTTACCTAAACAACCATTTATCACACAGAATTTGCAAAAGCCCGGGTTTTTGGAAATTTTTATTGTTTTTTTTTTGGGTTTTTGCAAGAGTTATGCTTTTGTAGGGTTTTTGTGTTGTAAGATCTTTGACTCTTTGACATTCCAAATTATCTCATACTCAGAACTCATAAACCCACTGGGTTTTTGAAATAGGTTTTTCCTACGATAAGAATGTTTTAATTCAAAATACAGGGTGTTCTGAAACTATTGTGCCAAAAATTGAGGAACGATAGATCCCGCCAAAATAAACGTTTTTTAATTATAAACCCATAGGCGCATGCGCTTTGGTTAGGTGATAATAGCACATTACAGTCCGCACTGTGGTAGCCACCTTGCACACGGAGAAACGTGTTTGAATAAGCAGAACCTGTGTTATTAAATAATACAGAACCCAAAGAATGCTTGCAGTATTTATTTAATATAATGATTAACATCAAAAGATGCTCAAAACTACTCAATGCATGTGTAACAGCGTTGTAGCAGAAATATCGAGTAGATTTCTACAGAAACCCTTCCCGAAATTGTTTCCCTGTATGCCAGACAAAACATATGGTACCAACACGACAGACCACCACCACATTACTTGTTAGCCTTAAGAGAACATCTCAACGAAACATCTGGAAAGGAGTGATTGTTATAAGGGGGCATGGACTCCACGTTCACTAGACCTGGCGGAATGCGACTTTTTTTTATGGGGTCATATGAAAGCTCTTGTTAACGACAATTGAAACAGCTAGAGGAAGTTAGTAGGAAGGATTGTTGCAGCAGCTGCTGAAATTCTCGAAACACCATGAATTTTTCAATGTGTTCAGGAGGCTATGCTACGGCGCTGTCACGCCCGTATGGAAGTGGGTGGCGGTAGCTTTGAGCATCTTTTGCTGTGAATCATTGTTTTTAGTAAGTAAGTACTGCAAGCATTCCTTGGGTTTTTTTTATCATTTAATAACACAGTTTCTGCTTCAAACACGTTTCTCCGTGTGTGAGGCAGTGGCGGTTCCTCCATAAGAGCACATGTGCACGTGCACTCCCAAATTAATATCAAACAACTTTAAATTTAATTTTATCATTCTTCAAATTTTAACATTCTACCTGTAAAGTATTAATTTAAAAAATTAGTGGCCAAATGCGCCAGCAAAACAACGGGCATCCCCCTTTCGGCATTTATTATGAATTACAAATTATGTGCACCCCCAATATGTTATACCACGAGCCGCCACTGGTGTGAGGTGGCTACGACAGCGCGACCTGTAATGTTTTATTATCACATAACCAAAGCGCATGCGCCTATGTGTTTATAAGTAATAAACGTTTATTTTGGCGCGATCTATCATCCCTTAATTTTTGGCACAATAGTTTCGGAACACCCTGTATAGGTACCACATATTTTTCACTTCCAATCAAATTACTATCTATAGGTCCTATTTTCCATTGAGTAAACCTAGATCTTACACAGATTTTTTGATCAATTTTTGATAAATGAGATGGGCAAAAATACTTGTGGAAAAACATTACACATAACTTTTGCGGAAAATGTCTTTTCCACCCTTGACAACTTTCCAACTGCCGTCGCGTGCGGAAACGCACCACTTTCCGCACTTGTTAGATAAATAACTATTTGTTTATGCCAACTCTGCAGATTTGATTATAACCAACCATTTTAATTATGTATTGTTTAGTTTTAGTAAAAATGTTTTAGTGTTTAATACATGTCTTTATTTCTTTTAAGTGTATTGTTAAGCTTTATGTTACTGTTAGTCTTAAGTGGATGTCTGTAATTGGCCCCTGGCTGTTGATGTCTGATTGATAAATAAATAAATAAATAAAAAATAAATAAACTCTGAAAGCGCGTTACAGATTCACAACAAGATGGCGAATAATGCATGGAAAGGATTGTCGCCTGAATGTGATTTCGTTGAAGAAGCATTTTTAAAAATTACTGGTAAAGAAATTTGTCGGGTTAAATTACCAAAATTACCATACCAAAATTACTATTACCGCGGTAACGTTACCACACTTCAATCTCTACCCCAGAGATTTCCAGACTTGTCCAGACATTATCTAGACTTATTCAGAGCTTTCTAGAGTTTTCCAGATTTCATCTAGATTTATCCAGACTTGTACAGACTGATCCGGATTCTGGAAAATGATCCCCAGGTCTTTTGGGACCTTTTCAGAATTTTTCCGACCCTTTCAAGAAATTTCCAGGCCTTTTCCAGACGTTTCCAGAGATTTCCAGACATTATCCAGACTTATCCAGAGCTTTCCAGAGTTTTTCAGACTTCATCCAGACTTCATCCAGATTTATCCAGACATTTTCCAGACTTGTTCCAGCTCACTTGGCTTGTTCCAGGTTCTTGTTGTGTGTTGTGTGCTAATTAAATTGCGGCAAAAACTAATCCGGGCCGTTCGATCAGGTGGCCCAGTTTATACGTATAAAAACAGCTGGTTACAGGGAGCGCGGCGTGACCTTCTCCAACGTAATTGCCGTGTTGCAGCGGGGCCGTTGTGAAATGGGCTCGGACGGATAGTCCAGCGGGTTTAGTTTAGTCAGTCGCTTAAATTATTGTCTAGGAAATTTAGGAATAATAACGACAGAAATTTTTCCGTCGGGATCAAATTATAAAATGATAAGTAATTTGATCTGACGATTGTAATAACTATTGAACTAAAAAAAAAAAAAAAAAAATTAAAAGGACCTACATATTTTGCGCCAGTGCACCGGCCCCTTGGCCACTGCGGCCAATCGAAAATCGGCAATGGCCAATCAGGTCTATCGAGTCTACGTTGACTGGTATCGAACGTGTACAAGAAGCCAATCAGATATATCCATCCCTACTTGTCTGGCTTTCAACGGATACGAGGAGTAATCAATATAAATTTTGCTGTATACAGTATCCGCCAAAATAAACAGTTCTGAGCATATAAATTATATGATTTATTAATTTGTATCATGCGTATATGTTCAAAAAATGCATCATAGAGACGCAAAAAAGCTTCATAACGATTCTGCAAATCATTGAAAATGTTTATTAAGAGTTGTTGCTGAAATTTTTATGAGACTTGTTTCAAACTTTAGCCTTTATCCCTTCCAAATCCGTATGACCGGAAATAGTGCTCTGCTAAGGAAACTGTTTTTTAAGTTCAAAAATACATAATGACGAAGATTAAAACCTTAACTTAATGTCAACCTCATAACTAATGCCAAGTAAACGAAATATGATAAATGCAACTTGTGTGCGCAATTACTCAGAGCTCTAGATTTCGGTACTGTTTATATTGGCGGATACCGTATTTCAATATGGGATGCAGTATATTGACCATATTCCTGTTCACAATCCGATGTCCATAGGTGCAGGTAAATTTATCACCTTTCCCTATCAAATAGTATTGAAAGGTGATAATTTTACCTGGTACCTGTGGACATCGGATTGTGAACGGATAATATACATTTTTTGTAGATGGGAATTTCCTGTTTATAACACATTTCAGGCTGAGCATTTCATATTGTGACTTCGCGGATTATAGAATTAAAACACTATTTTATTTATTTCCATATTTATTTATTGAATCATAAAACTTGGTGGTATGAACATACCAAATAAACATAATTAAATTAGATTCATATAATATGAGGAAAATTAGGAAAAACAAAACTTTTTGGAATATTAGATTTTACTGCTGAGTAAACTTAGTCCTCTTTGACCGTTTGGACTTTTTACCAGTTTTAGATGTTGTTCCATCCATTTCGGCTTCAGTAAGCCATAATTCAACGTGGCACGGCGAAGACATGTAGGGGTTAATTCTACCGTGAGCACGGTAGGTACGGCGTCTCATTAATGCTGCTCTGTTCACCTAAAATTAAAAAAAAATCAATTTCTTTCTTCCAATAAGGATTATTGATAAAAAATGTAGGCTCGCCCGCAGTTGCGGAGGGGGGCGTGATCTTGGGGGCCCTAGGAGGCCATGCGACAAGAGAGTACTAAACACTAAACTGGCGAGAAGAATATTACTAAACTAAAAGAAAATATTTTAACCTAACAACCTAACCTATGAATCTCAAAATACCTACCAACCATTGAAAAAGTATGTCTAACCAATGTAAAAGATCTCAGAGAGAAATGTTGACATACCTATCACAGATGCAAAATCAACTGTGGCACTGTGGCCGTTTTAAGTGATATAGGTATCTACTATTGCTAGCCCCGAAACGGTAAGAGTTACGAAGTCGGTTAAATTGAAAAAAGTGGCAGATTTTTGTATCCATTGGAGGTAAGTTCACAGGGTTGACAATTTTTTGTTCGTTTCCGAGATATGAAGAAAAATGAAACCACAACTGAAAGCCGTGTGAAGATAACAATGACGCCATTTTGTAGAAAAGAAAGAATCTTGAATCTTTTGTATGAACACTTTTTTCTAAAGTTGATAGATTTTGAAATATTCATTAAATAAGCTTGATTTTTTTTTACATCCCTTATTTCCGGAAACGAACAAAAATTTGGCACCCCCGTGTACTTACCTTCAATGGATACTAAAATCTGCCAATTTTATCTAATTTGACCAGCCTCGTCCCTCTTACTGGTTCGGAGATAGCATTGATAGCAATAGTGATAACACTTAAAACGGACACCCTGTATAAAGAAAAATTTAAAAAATATATACAAAGAAGATGGGCCCCGGGAAAATCCTTGCGGGGGGGTCCCGGATTTGAAGTTACGCCACTGCATTCGACCATTTCGTGCTGCAACTCTGTTGAAGAATCCCTATTCAAATAAATAATTACCTGGATGTGATTAACAACCAATCTGTCAACATCTAAACCGATGTAGTCGGCGTTGCTCTCAGCGTTTGCCAAAAGTTGCAAAAGGAATTCGGCAGATTTCTTTGGCCAACGGCCTTGAGTGTTGCCAAACTGTTTCGCTTGGGCACAACGGCCTACGCCACCATTGAATCTTCTGAATGGGATACATTCCTTCATAGCGAGAACGTTTTTCAGATAGGCTTGGGCCCTTTTGAGAGGCATTTTCCTGATTGCATTAGCTGTTTCGCAAGTGTTCTGAAAAATGAATAAAATATACTTATTTGGTGTCCCTAATGTTGATTGTTGAATATGGAAGAATTTCGGGGGTTTGAGGACCAAAAAAAACTACTTAAACTTAGTTATGGACGACGTTTCGGAACTATATATTTCTCCTTTTTCAAGCCTCAGCTTAATGTTTGAGCTTCTACAGCCAACGGAAAGATACAGTGTGTTTCAAAAGTCTGGGAACGGTCAAATATTCCAGAGTGGCTTGAAATAGAATTACGAGATTTTCTGCATATAGGTCATTAATGACGCCCGATTCAATGATGACATCGACAATCTTGTCTATTATGTAACTTTTATCAAATCGAGATTGAAAACGTTAATAGACAATCGAGAACAGTGAAATCGAGATAAACGTTATCGATTTTGACAAATTTCCTATTCTGTAAGTGCAGTTGATAAGTTTTCAAATCGAGAAAGTAGTTATCATTGGTACTTATTGATTTGAAGATAGCGGCAACGTTGCAAACTGTGAATGACAACCACTATCGCTACTGACACTACTCCAAATCAAATAAACGTCAACAAATTCAAATTTTAAAATGGATTTTCGAACTACAATAAGTAAAAAAAGAGTGTCTAACGAGCAGAGTTCACGAAAAATCCCAGAGGATATATTCTGGGATTGTATTTATCAACATAATTGTCCAATAAAAACTGAAATCAACCCAAGTGTGCTTGCATGCATTTAGTTTGAGTATCTTCATATGGCGGTATAGCCCAGAACCAACAAAGTGTACGATTTCTACCATGTCATCTAAGTTAGTATAAAGAAAATGATGTTCAGGTACTAAAGGTCGATAATACAACTCAACTCAATATTTACATGATTGGCTAAATTTCGATCAAAAAATGTGAAGGAAGATAATTCACTTGAGAAGAAGTACCGGCAAGGCAAGCTGACCAGATAGAACAAGTCATCTGACTGTCTCCTTCCTTCTTACTTTCTCTATGTCCACATTTTTCTATTAGAATTTTCTGGAGTTCTATGTTCTGTTTTTCTTTGATTTGCTTTTTTCACCTTTTAGTAGAGTTAAGACCGTGAAATAATCCTTCTAGAAAAGATTTTCGTCCGCACTTCATTGCTAAAATGTAGAACCCATTTTATATCGTTCCTCACACCTTAAGAGAGCAAAATCGATTGGTCGTCAAAAAATCGTGGGGTGCAGGGGGGTAGTTTGGGGTAGTTTTCCAAAAAATTACAAAATTTTTTTTTTTCATTTTTCGAATCTACACTACGTATTCAATGATCTGCAAAAGTTTTAATTCAAAATTCCAAGTAGAAGTATTTTATTTCGAGTTTTGAAATGTTTGTACAACACGCATTTATATGGAATTCCTTAATATAAAACAGCTCGCACTGAAACATCAAAATTGCAACATCATTCACACATAGATAACTCAAAAATTCTTATTCTAATCAAAAAAACACTTTCTATAAACGCTGTAGATCAAAGATCAGGGATTAAATAGCTATTTATACAATAAGTTACGAAATGAGCGTCTTTTAGGCACGCGACGTGAAAATTGTCCAACGAGGCAAAGCCGAGTTGGACAACACGTCGAGTGACTAAAAGACATCGTTTCGTAACGTATTGTATACAAGATTTTTTCTACTGGCATTTTATAATAAAAAAACACAATTTTATTTCATGTGAATAAGTCGATTACACCCAAAATCTTTGTTACCTGCTTTTACTTGACACCTGACACTTTTCATGCGATTTTCTTTCCAAAATTCGACATCAATAATTAAAATCCTAGAAAGTAGGTAATAACACAAAGTTCTGTTTTGAGTAACCCAAACGTTCAATTCAGTAATTCCATTTTCAATATTCATAATAAATACAAAACAAAATTCAAATATGTGTTTAGTGTGTTTTTTATTTCTGAATAATGAATGACACTTTTAGGCACTAGTGCTTAAAAATTACTTTTACGCACTCATAAGTCACTTTTACGCATTCAAAAGTCACTTTTACGCACTGAGTGCCTAAAAGTAACTTTCACGCACTCAGTGCCTAAAAGAATGTCGTTTCAAAACTGAAATGACAATCGAAAAGTTGCTATTATGAAACGTCAGTAGAAAAATGCTTTTTTATAATCAAAAATCGGATAAGTCGTTTTGTCAAAAATCAGTAAAATGTAAAAGCATGTCGTGGCGACCATGCCCGGACGCGGAGATGCGAGGATGGTTGAAATTCCCTTGGCACGCGATTGATTCTGTGTGGTGCACGGTCCGTATGTATTTTGAGGCCTAGATGGTCGCTTCTCGTCTGAAACAGCGGAAAGTGCACTATTTCTGTGAAAAAGCGTCGTAATGTTCCAAGATACAGATATAGATACATTATAAGAATATAGTGGCTTTTAGTTTATGTATTTGAGTATGATATTTAAATAAATCAATAAAAGTTACACATAATATTAAGTATATGAGGAAATATGATCATTTCAAAAAACTGTTCAATAATTTATTGACCAGTTAGGTAAAGCATTTATGCTAAAATTTGCGTTAAAATCCAAAGGTAGGACAAACTTTATTTGATGAGCCTTTGATAATAGGTAGATAATAATTGTATAATCATATATTATATCACAAGAGCTTTAAATTTAATCGATTAAACTATCCAACATATTTTGAGCATAATTTTGCTTGGAAAATAGTTTGAACTTTTAAATAAAAGCCCTCGACCGCTTCGCGGTCTCGGGCTTTTATTAAGTTATTGTGCATCAAAACTATTTGCCAAAAAGCAAAATATTGCAAAAAATATTTGGATAGTTTAATCCATTTAAATTTATAGCTCGAGTGGTATACGGCTAGATTATTTCCTGAATAATTAGGATTTAATTGTTGGCGTCAATCCTATCCAAAGAGTTCTATTTATTATAAAATGTCAAAATATTTCTATCAAAATTCTGTCAAAAAAGGTAAACAAAAATTTAATCGTAGGTAATACCATAAGAGCTCAGATTTAGCCGGATATTTTTTGGCTTGGTCTCGAATACTTACTTTTAGGAAATTTAACGAGAGCTGTTCGAGAGCGCAGCTCGAGTGATTTTGTGGAACAGATCGAGATAAATTGCATGAAAGTAAGTATGAGAGAGCAAGCAAAAAAATATCCTGCTCAAAATCTGAGCTCGAATGGTATTTAGTACGGCAATTCCACGAATGCATAATCAAAATAAAACATGGAAATACTTTTTGAAATGAACAGTTATTGAAGGTACAATTAGAATAAATATTTTGCCCCTTAAAATTTGACTCTACAGAAAGAGAAGAAGACTCTGTGTTCTCAGGAATTTAATTTTCTATTTCGCTATTAATTCATCTTTAATTGTCCCAAATCGCTGCATGATGAAAATATTTTTAATTTTATTTAAAAATACACTGTTAATAAGCTTAAATGATAGAACTTTTGAATTTTTGTGACAATTATTTGACAGATGATTCAAAAACCAATTTTATATGCAATTGTTACTACGGTAACGATTGCATCAACAGAAAATTTATCCGATTTTTTTATCCAGTTATATTTTCTCTTCCTTCCTATTTATCCGCTAGCAAACTACGATTTTTGACATTTCAAATGGGATTATTTATACATGAGTGGAATTGTCACTTATTTAAACAAAATTCATTCAAAAAATGACGTTGTCTGATGGGTCTCTTTTATAATGAATGAAATAATAAGACATATTATTGACGCATTTGAAGTTGTGTTATAGCCCAGTATACCACCGAGTATAGCACCTTATTTCCTATTATGGGTACTTATGGTCGTGGAGTCGCTGTTCCATGATAGAACCTTTTATTTTTGTGTAGATAGAGAGATATTGCAAGTGCTTGTCTTTTTAAGGCAAGCCTCATTTTGACAGCTGCGCATGCGCAGTCTGCCTTATTTGGGAGAAAATAGGACCTGCTTCATCTTTGCCTTATTTAAAGTTCTTAAAGTATGTTTTTTTTTTTAAAGATAATTCCACAAGTCAAAAATTTAGTAACTATGTTAGCAACACGAGCCTTTTCTACATAAAAAATTTGAAACCATTGACAATTTTACATTGTATTGCCAACATAATGTCATTTTGACGTTTACCTTAAAAAAAAAGCACTATACTCGATCGGCGATGATCGGTAGCAATAGCGAACTAATTTTTTGTTGTGTTATGTGTTTATAACCATAGATTGGATGACAACAAATTTTGACTTTTCTTGATTTTTTTTTCAAACTTTGAGAATTGTAGCAAAATCAGAACAGCATCGAGGACAGAAAATAGGCAGACTGAGGTTAACATAAAGTCTGTTTTTATTGTAAAGATAAAAGTCAAAATGACATTAGGTTGGCAATACAATGTAAAATTGCCAATGCTTCCAAATTTTGTATGTAGAAAAGGCTTGTCTTGCCAACATAGTTACTAAATTTTTGACTTGGGGAGTTATCTTTTAAAAATAAATATACTTTACCTATAACGATGAACTGGTTTTGCCGAGGGTTTTGCAGAGAATTTGTGTAATATTCCTTCCACTGTTCTACGATTTTACACGTTCTATTCAAATATTTTCAATAAATAATTTCTTATTTTCAAAATATCTAAGCATATACATTCACAGAAAGAAAACACTTCACAAGTTCAAAACATAAAAAATTGGAGTGTTCATTTGTACTTGCTCTACCTGCTCAAAGAATTAGGAAGATCTGCTAGGAACTGCTATTTATGAGCTTATTATATGGGACAAGTCAGGGGCGGACTGGCACTAGAAATCAAAAACTTCAAAACTTTATTGTTGCCGGTTGGCACCATGACACAGCAAACAGTGTTGTTGGTTGCCAACTGCTGAACGTAAAATAATGCGCCTCCTGGGGCGTGTTTGGTTTGAAGCTCGGTGGAGCGAGCAGGGGGGGTTTTATTTGAAATTGATGCAATTTTGCGTACACGCAAATATGATGCAAGTGACGTAATTTTCGATTGAT